GCGAGTATTTCCTTCGAGTTTGGAAACTAAACAGACTGGTGGGGAAGGGCAAAGAAAAGGTATGTGCTGCTGAGAAGGTGAGGTTGGGAATTGATTAAAGCAAACCTGCTGCTTTGAGGCACCCTTGAGCATGGGATACAGATCTCAAATGGAAGTGCTAGTCCTAACAAGCTTTTCACATTTTAGTTTTTTCCTGCAATGGCACCACATCATATATCACGCCTTAGTAAAGGTGTTTGAACTATTTGGAATGCATTTTAGTGAGGCTCTGGCCCTGGAATCTCCCTTAAGGTCTCGTTTAAGAAGCTTGTGTTTAACATTTTAAAAGAATTACAGTATAGCGTGCTCCTTTTACAACTTTAACCAAACCTGTCAACATTCATATACGAAAGACATCCGCTTTAAGCTCTACCTATACTTTTAGTAATCGTTTTAATTCAGCAATTTCGTGAGACAAACCCAAGTTAACGAGCCAGTTTGTACAGTTTCAGATGAAGCATAAGACAGGAAGGATTAATCTGTTTTCAACCCACTACAAGAATACTTTGAAAGAATCTGAACATCCCAGATGGCAGCCTGAAGCCTGGGAGTGGGTGCACCAAGGCCAGCACACATGGGTCAGCAGAATATAAATAAAACCACTTGTATAAAACTAGGATTAAATATGCTGGGACATGTCTGGTAAAATAAAGCGGAAGAAACTGCAGACTATGCAGTGCATATAAAGCTCTGTAGATAGAACGCTGTCAGCCAAAACTGGACCTGGAGGAAAAAAAGTCACAAGAGGCCTAAGACATGACTACCAAAAGCCACCCCATCTACCCAATTCTCCAGAGTGACCACCTCCTGATAGTTTTCCCCCCCCTCCAGTTCCCAGTGATCTATTCACTGTCCACACTCCTTCCTCACCTCTTTTGTAGGGGTCCACTCCGAGTAAGCTCTGGTGTGGAAGTTTACCAGGTGGATAATGTCACTGGACCCCCATGTAAGCATTTGGGCCTATCAATTGAGAGAATGGAGGTGGGGAGGGAGCCATTAGGAAAATGGGCAAACTGACAATTTCTCCAAGTCCCTGTTCACACCAGTGCTGTAGCCCATTCAGCACACCCAACAGCATCACAAGCACTCCCACAATGCATATAAGTGAATGAGGGGTTACCCTTTTAACCCCCGTAAGGCAATTTCTGGAAGCAAATAGCTGCAGTAGCATCTGCAAAAATGGTCTTTTTGAACATGCAGCTTCCAGCTTTGTGATAGAAGTGATCAGGGTGCCTGCAAAGCCACCCAATTACTTCTATGTGGCAACCTTCCAAGGTAACCTTGACTCACAGGTGTCCTGTGGAAGCCCAAGACATACATGGTCAGTGTCAGGATGGTAAGCCTAGATGCCTTATTTTCTAAATCTCTCCTGTGAGGCTGAACGTGGGGCCCTTCTGACAGTGAGGTTTGCCTTCCCCCCTTCTCTTCGCCTAAAAGTTTCAGCTTTGCCTGCTATAGTCACTTAGCATTTGATGGGGGGGGTCATCTCGTTAAGGATGAGAAGTGAAATCTTTATCCAAAAGGCCTATAGCCATGTGTAGCTGTAATGTTTTTGAAAAATGCTCGGCCTGCAAACTAAAGTTAAGCGCCAACTGAGCACAACAGTCCCTACTCTTTCAGGAAAAGTTTTTGCAAGATTTTGGATAGTGTCTGAGGGAATTTGTGCCCATTTAACCAAGAGTAATTGCTCAAAAGGTATTCAGTAGGGTTGGGATCAAGTTTGTCAGGCCCCTCAAGTTCCGCCACAAATGATAAAACCATATTATAGCCCTGGATCTGAGCACAGGTAATCAAACACAAAAACCTTCCCCAAACTATTTGCCATTGTCTTTGTATGATGTAAAACAAATAAGTCAAGCAAACTGGACTCGCTGTATTTTTCTTTAAGACAATTCACTGGTCATCCAACCAGTGAAACATCTTCAAGAAAAATACAGCAAGTCCCGTTGGCTTGACTTATTTTTTACAGATATACCATGACCTGGATGAATGAGAACCTTCAGACATTTTGTATGCTGTAGCAATGACAACCTTCCACTGGAAATGCATGAATGTAATTTGGAGGAGTGTCCACATACAAGTAGGTGTGATTGTCATGTTTCCAAACGTCTGTCCATATTGTACATCATTTGTTGGAAAGACAGACCCTACACAGAGGGGAAAGGCACCCTCAAGGCCATGCACATAATGTTCTCAAACTTAAAAAAGCCATTTCTTTTATTAAGGTGCAAAACAAACATATACAAATATTAACACTTGACATTTACATGTTATTACAATATTTACAATACATTACGTATACACAGTGCTGACTTTGTCACCAAAGAATTGAATGAAGATATCCGGGTGACTTTTGTAGAACTGACCCAGAAGACGCTTTTTCTCTTTAGGGGAAAGTTTAGTGTTCTCATATATAGTCCTCAATAAAGTCCACAGTTCTGTCCGTGTAGTTTTTTGTGCGGAAGAAACAAATTCACTTCTATCCATTTTTTGGCAAAAGGTATAACCTGAGGGAAAAAAAACACATTTAGAAAACCGCACTTTTAGGTTTCCTGTAGACGTATCCCATAATGCCCATCTTTACACTACAAGCCCTGCTGTGTATTAACGATTGCTTCAGCACCTAGCACTGGTAAGAGCCAACAATTAAAAAGCCATATGCAAGTCCAAAAACACATCTACACAAGGCTGCAAGTATACTTTAAATCAAGCAATTCCTGAGGCACAGCTAGCTTCTAGGGTATAAAGCGATGACCTGCATATCTCTACCCTTGGACGTCATAGCTACATTTAGGGCCCCCTTCAAACATAGTCAGTGTCTCTGGTCTTTCGCAGACTAGCGTTTTCAGACTAGCATTTTTGTTTAGCTGGCAGAAAGCAAGCTGTAAGGCAACACACATCTATTAAGTCTATTGGGGGAAAAATTGATGAACATGTCTGAAAGATCCTGTAGTTTGAGCGACAGCATATCATTCAGATGTAAATGGGCCCAACAGAACTTTGAAACCTGAGTGAAAGCCCTCCTGGAAACTCACTTTAAGTCTCAGGTGTGAACGGTGGCTTAGCATTTCATATAGAGTTAAAGGAAAAAAAAAAAAAAAGGGCTAAAACCAGTATTTAAGCCAACGGAGTCCCTGAATTTTTTTAACTTCCTGTCCCAGACCTGAATCAGGAAGTGAAAGCAAATCTTCGATTGTAATCATCCCCATCTTTTGTTGTGGTGAGAACGAAGATAGTTTCCAAATGATTTGTCTCATTCACAATTGCTTCCAGGATTAAAGTGAGCGAATTTCCCCACTGGTAACAGGAACCACTTTGCAGAATAACTAAGCTCTATAGGCTTTACTTTGCAATGAAGAATGATGGGTGATGAACTGTTCCTTCGAGACTTTCTTGGTGGATACTTTTAAAAGTATAACCAGTCACCAAAAAACACAAGGACACTATCCTGCACACTTCCCAATATACAGTCTTAATCTCAAACTGAGAATGTGCTGCAAGCTACAATGAAATAGGATTTGGCTAGGAACTAAAACTAAGACTGCTTTTTATGAAATTTGTAAGCCACTCTGGAAGCAGTGGTCTCCACTACGCTAGAAAACGCCATTATGGATGGGGAAAGTTGCAAAATAGCCCATCCATGGTTCAAAGCATCCCTGTAAAGTTCCTAAAGGCTAGATACCATATGACACCCCCCCCAAAAAAAGCAATTGGCTGGAAAAGGAACTATCTAGTAGCATTTCTACCTGTGTCTTTGTCTGGGTCTTTTCCCTGTTGAATAGCCACCAGCTTCTCACTGACCATCTTGTGCAGACTTCCAGGAATCTAAATAAAACGATACGAAAAAATTAAATAAAATGTTGTATCTGTTAAAAAAGGCAAGACAGCTCTGCTTTGCAACTCAATAGAAAACAATTTTCTAAAGGAGACACAATGAATTGCAAGTCTCCAAAAACAGGTTTGCCAATTCAAACTGTGCAAGTTGAGAATTCTAGCAACGGATAGTCACGACCTGCTTAAACCGGCATGGCTCGGAGTGATCAGGGCACACTCATGAATCAGATTCCTGTAATAAAAACTCTTCCTAAAATGTAGGCTCCCAGAATTCTGCACCACAACTCTTACAAACCCCTCTTGCATGGTTTTAAATAGGGATGCACCGATATAATAGGCCGAAATGGCACTTTTGGCATAATGCCGAAAGAGCCATGTTTCGGCCGATACATCGGCGCATCCCTGGTTTCTTTCCTCCCCGCTGGGCGCTGCTCTGTGTCCCAGCAGGGAGAAAAGAAAGTGACGCCGACCGAGCGCTGCAGGACGAGATCAGTGTGAGCGGCCGGCGTCTCTCCTCCCACACCGCTCGCCTACCACAGTCTAGCAGAGCGGTGTGGGGGCGGAGACAGCGCTGTCACAGGAGGCTGGTCTTTCCTCTACACTGCTCGATCAGACTCCTGTGACAGTGTCAGAGAGAAAAGCAATGTACACTCAGTGATCGCTGAGTGTGTACATAATTGAGGATATGGTATGTTAACTATATCCTCAATTATGAATGAATGGGAAGTGATCTACATCACCCCCATTCATTCATAGTTGTAGTTATAGTAAACAATGTTCTCATGTTATCAATGAACAGGAACACTCAGAGGATACCTGTTCATTGATAACAGGGGGACACAGAAAAAGAGATTGAGGACTCTGTTCTCAATCTTTTTCTATTTTAAAAAGGGAAATATCAGGGGTCTGTTTAGACCGTTAAAATATATTTCCCCCGAAGCCCCTAAAAGTAATATAAAAATATTTAAAAGATGAAAATATAAAATTATAAAAATATTTAAAAGATGAAAATAAATATAAAATTAAAAAAGTTAAATATATTTTAAAACATTGAAAAAATAAAAAACATTTTCAGTATCGGTTTCGGCCTGACTTTTTATTTCGGGTTTGTTTTAAAATTTCCATTTCGGTGCACCTCTAGTTTTAAACATTTACAACCAAGTTTTATCCCCCATCAATAAAAGTCCTGCAACTACCACACATTTCCAGCCAAAAGCAAAATCCAAACCAAAGCAGCGGTCATCCAATAAAGTGTTAATAGCTTGTCTAAATAAATCAAGACAACTGAACCTTCTGTATTTTTCTTTAGGACATTTTGCTGGTCATCCGACAGCTTTCTCAATTCAGAAGCCAATTCAAAGACTGCACCCTTCTGAATTGAGAAAGTCAGATGACTAGCAAAACAAAAACAATAAAAAAAAACCAGGAAGTGCAGTTGCCTTGATTTTTTTCTTTTTATTAGACAACAACCTGGATGAATAAGAACCTTCACAGACACATGTTATTGGGATGGACATTGCACTTGGCACTGTCACAGAACATGTCCATTCAGAACACTGGTACTCCCATGACCCAAACATTTCAGCCCCGTTACCTTGAACACATCCTTGTGGTGGTCCAGCAGGAAAAGCACCAGCAAGTCAGACTTTCCCTTGGCCAGATTTTTGTGGTTGACAATGGCTCGAGAGAACTTCCTCTTTACAGTCATTCGGTTTTCACTCTAACAAAAAAAAAAAAAATTAAAGATCAGTTATTTGAAAGAGCATTTACCCCTAGGCACAACATTCATCCAATGCTGCTCACATTTGACAATGGACAAACTGTTCAGTATGGAATTCACAAAACTTTTGCATTCTTTGAGCAGTTCTCATATTTCTCTTGCCTTAAGGGTGAATGAAATTTTCTTTAAAAATTTAAAAAGCAGCATCAAAACTCAACATCCAGTAACAGTCCTGCAAGTTTAATTTCTATATTGCCTCGACCCAAGTGAGTCCAGGCAGATAAAGAGCACCAACTAAAGCTGGACAAAAAAAACAACAACAAACGAACATATAAAGACCATTTTAGCACCGCTGTAAAACAGGGGAGACCAAATTTTTTTCTTCTACAATCCAAGCTATCAAAAAAAAAAAACCCACGCATTCTTGCTGAATTAAAATTGGCTCAGCATTGGGTGGCGGTTGCAATGTGTCAGCTACCTGGACTTCTTCGGAAAACATCACATGTTATATCCACCCATAGCTCGTACCTCTTCTTGAAGTCTAAACTCCGAAGGCTCTGCAGCCACGGCCATGAAATAGAGGAGACGTCTGAACTCCTCCCGGCTGTGGGAATCCAGGAGCTTCAAACACAACTGCGTGGCCTCCAGTGCTTGTTCGGTCTTTCCGTTAACTAAAAAGTAAAAAAATTTGGTTAAAAACAAGACTAGAAAAATAGAAACTAGCCAAATTAAGACTGCAAATGGCAAAAACTTAACCCTAACCTTCAGTCTCCCATAGTTTTACATATACTCCTCTCCCATAGTGAAAAAGCTTACTCTTGATTTCACTGCACACCAAGCTTCTAACAGTGTACATTAGAAGCTGCATAAAGTCAGAGTGCCTATCCCATTTCCTGGCTGCAGGATGTCCAGCATCATCTAAGCTTTCCTCCCCAGCCCGACTGTCCCTGGTCCACTCCTTTCATTCACTGGATTTCAGTTCTTTCCATAATGGAGGATCAGCACAGGTGGACGTTAACTAGAGCAGTCTGCATGCAAACGCAGCCTGCCTTGTAACAGATTAAAATTCACCCCACCCATTTTTAACTTCACCCTACTGGGTATGAAAGCGGCATTCATCAACTGTTCATAAGGAATTCAAAAATTAAACTGTTTGACCACACACACAACTGATGAAACGTGTTACATCATGTAGGCCATAATTCAAGCCAGTGTTGTGGAGCTGTAGCTTTCAACGCTCATCCTTCAGATCTACCATACAAAGTAGATTCTCAAAAACCAAGAATGACAATCCTTGGAGCTACTCTGTTTTTAAAAAGACTGGGAATGCTTCTCCATATTCCTGTTCAAGGTTACTGTAAAGAGCTGCTCAGATGTAGTCTATACGGGCAGATTAAGCCTATTGAATCTGCAGAAGCCTTTTCTCCACCAAGGATGCTGATACATCATGACTGAATACACCCCGCAACACCCAATAGTTGCTTGTTAGTCAAAAATGTAGCTGAAGCATCCAAGTGCAATACACAGAACTTGGCTGCATCAACATTAAATGGCAATTTATTGAAGTCTACAGAATGCCCTCTCCCGTCATAGACAGCCCCTACAGGGACCTACCATGTTGGGTGCAGTGATCTAGAACTGCCTTTTCACACTGCAAATACCATACCTGCTACAGACCCTAGACTTTCGGAGCATCTGTAGCAGTTATGATATAGATGAAGATCAGACCTCCAACATCTATAGTGTGTTGAAAAAAAAGACAGGATACAATTGAGAGCCATCATTAAAATGGATTCTAAAAAAAAAAACCATTGGGTTACTTCACACTTAAAAAGGTACCATAATTGGCATTACCATTTATAATACTGTAGAATGTTGATCCAGTGAGATCCAATTGCCTTTGGGGATCTGAACACATTTTCCCTGCAGAAGCACATTGTGCCACCTTTTCTAACGCTTTTGCCTTCCTCCAGATTTGGGCATGAGAAAATACACAGCTTTTTGGTTTAACTCTATGGAGTCTTTTCCAAATCAACTACGTAACACATCCACTGAGCTAAATGCTGCCATTATACAGGTGAATTAGAAATGGAAATGTACTGAAACTTGGCTAGCTGGAGTGACATCCTCCTACAGCATGTAGAATCACTGAAGCCATGCAAGCACTAAAGTACATAAAATGTTTGCACAACACCTCTACAGAACTGAAGCACTTTATCTCTGCATTACTTGGTCTTATCACACGTTCTCTTGTAACTTATTTAAACAGCTTGTCATTTGCCATTAAATAGTTTGGTAACCATGATCTGGATAATGTACTTCAAACACTGCAACATCTCTGGAGGCGCAAGCTTTTGTGCAGTCTTTTTAAAAGGAAATTGACCATTTTAAAGCAAACTAAACTGGCTAAATCCTGCTAAAGTGCCACAGATCTCATAATAGCAGTTCTCCACGGGCCTATTTTTCTATTCTTCTACACCGCACACCAAGTTCCTAAATCCCCAGTACTCTGAACACAAATTTTGAACAGTCAGAAGCTTGGTTGTGTGCCAAGTACCCTTTCTTTCAGGGTGCTGAGGCAGACACCATTTTAAATGCCAATTCAACGAAAAAAACATTGGAGGTCACCTACTGATGTTGGGTGATAAATCCTGGCTTGCAATCAGCATTCCAGTTTATCCCAAAGGATCATAAGGTTCAGGTGAGGGCTCTGTGCAGGCCACTCGAGTTCCTCCACAAAGTGAAAGTATTTTATGGACTTGGCTCAGTACCCTTCACTTGAAAACAGCTGAACTCCAAATGGTCTTGGAATGGATTCTCCAACAAGATCATAAAAGGTTTGATAGCCAGGTGTCCACAGACTACTTTCTATATAGATTGTCAGAGTGGGAAGGTAAAAGCCATCAATCAAATCATTGTCTGAACATCTTTCACCAGATCAGTGTGCCCAGGGTGTCTGGTGTAGTCCACTAGCACCTATAGATAGGGGGGGGGGGGAACGATCTCAACCCTGTTACTACCTTTAAAGCGGGCATGTATAACTGTTTAGCCACAAGTGGGTCTCAAGTCCTTCCCTGCAGCTCCAGTTGGAGAGGCTACACTTTATGAAACACTAACTGAATACGTTAGAAGAAATAGAAATAATTAATGTACCCCTTCTCTGAAAGTGGTTCACGTTGCATTTTTGTACAGTTCTCATTACTAAAGCATTACAAAGAGTCAGACAAGCTAGCTTCGAACCAAAACCAGTGTTAAGGTTAGTGTATGGTCGTTACCGTTAAGACTTGTGCTGTTGGGACGACTAGTACTGTAACCACGATAGATCTTGCCAACGGTCATAAAAACTTCTCTACCAAGCGCCTAAAAAGTTGCAAAGAAGAAATCTGGATTGCAAATACAGTTTCGGGTTTTATTTTTAAGACTTGCCTAAAAGCTCAGCAATGCCCGTGTGAATGTCAAAGAATGGATTGGTGACAAGAGGAACCCTGTTCTGACTGTAGTACTTGCTGATACTCTCAAACAGTAGCAGTTTCCATGACCCATCCTTGTCTGGGCATTCAGGGAGATTCCGGCTCACATCCACCACAATTTGATCCGGGAGGAACTCCAAGCAGTCCACTGCAGCTGAAACCCATTCATCTGACCTGCCACAAAAGAAAAGTGTAAATGCTTGGAGGTAAATGCAAAACTGTGCTCCTCACCTTCCCAATGCAGAGAAAAAAAAAAAAAGTTCCTTCATGCTGCCCTTCCCAGTAGCACACTTTGCCCTCGAGTAGCTGCTCAGCTGGTTGCTACAAATCACGCATACCAGTTTATCAGGAGGTGAGCACCCTCCCCACCCACATATGACTCTGGAGCCGTATTTTTACCAGGAAATGTAAAATGGGCCAGCGCTAATTACTCTCATCAATTCCAGCAACTAAACAAGGCTATATATTAGCATTTGAACATAAGTGCACTTTAAGATACTGTTCCAACAGACTACCAGACCATGTTGTAGATCTGGTTCTGCTACTGTTCTGTCCAGCTTTTATTAAAACACTGCCTGAAGCAATAGGTAGAACATGTGCAGAGCTGCAGGGAATCAACACAATAAAACCACCACACAAGACACTGAAAGGATTACACAGAAACCAGTTGACATTTTTGGGATAAATGTAAATATGTGGCCGATCTGTATTGGCACTGGACTACAGGGTGGAATTTCCCACATCTTAGGAGAACCCACTTGGCACTGCCATCTGTTAAAATGCACAGGACAATTTTACACTGCAAAAGAAAATTGTTCGATTTTCTTAGAATTTCTTTAATCTCCTACAGTAGAAAAGATGGGCCATGCCACTTACTGGGAGTCACTAAATGCCTTGAGGATCTCTCTGTCCAGATAGTGGGTGGTAATTATCAGCTCTTCATTCTTTGTTGGCGCCGTTTGAGACGTGGCAGGAGCATTCTCTAGTAAAGAGTCAAGGATTGGGAGGTCCACTAGCTGAAGTAGTCGGCGTATAGTTTGTTCTTGCCAAACTTCACTAAGAACTAAAAATAAACATACATGAGCAGATTTTAACAAAAAGAACAAAAAACAAGTGTATCTAAACCCAAGAACTAAATACATTACAGCTTACTGGTCCTTTGATATTGTGGCTGCATTGTCTTTTTATTCCATTGGAAGTACAGAACACTACATATTGTTCCTGCAAGAAATTCAGTCTGGCACCAACTGTGCACTAAATTGATCTGAAACAGCTAACCTACCAGCTAAAAGAACTCTTATAAAATGAAGACAGGGAAAGACATCCGGAGTCCAAATAGGAGCAGCCTAGGGCGACTAAGTTGCTTTATAGACTGTCCGGGGTGTCAATACTCAATTACAGCACATAGTCACTGATCGGATCACCAGGAATAAATAAGGGAGAAAGCCTGAAAACGAGGAAAGTAATGTAGCCACAACATTGGACTGAAAGCACATCCAAACCTATTATATTGCAGTTTAAGATAATTGTCTCCAAGAACAGTAGCAGTAGTGTATATGGGCCTGTAGAAAATACAGTCAAAACATTTTATCCTCCGAGTCTAGTACTTTTTAGAATGTCATGTACTGAATGACCACAATGCAATTAAATCATGCATGGTCATACAGTCCAACATCTACTGGAAAAGTCTTGGAGGACTCAGACAGTACATTTAGTGCTGTAGAACAAATAAACAAAGTGTCATCTTCCATTTAAAAGCCAGTGTGCAGACTATAATCACCACTATTATAATACAAGAGACCTTTTTTGAGATTTCCTTCCACAATCTTAAAGCCAAAAACTGACAGTAAGTCCATGAATGGAAGGGTTTATGTGTAATTTCACTTGACTGTCTGAGGTCGTCATTATACTTTGTAATGAACGTGACAACTGAACAATGCTATAAACTGTGTCTTGGTCAATAGAAGGGTTTGTTACTAGTCTGGCAGGCGATTTGCCCTGGAGGCAAAATATTTCAGGTTCCTTAAATTCTTTATTAAGTGGGTATAGTTTTCCCAACTATCAGCCAGCGGTTTCATAATTACAAGTAATCAGTCAAAATAAGGACCTTCAGTATTGATAGGAAGCAATTTTAAGTAGAGACTGAGCAACCGAAAACGAAAAGCATATATTCATGTCATTTATTTCTTACCTACCTCGATACAAGGTTATATTTTTAGGATTAGATTTCATATACAGGCTTGTAACAATTACCAAACGTGGACAGTTGATGACATTGTAATAGTGTATTTAAGTCATGCACCGTCACCCATTATGAATAGGGCACGGGATGGTTAAAAACCAGTCAGGTCCTTTAAAGGCCATCTGTGTCCCATTAAGAGATTCTCCTTCACTTCCTGTCCTGTAGACAAAAGTGAGAAGCCTCTCCAAAGAAAGCTTCAGATTGCATCCATTTTTCACCTTCTCAATGCTGCCCTTTGTTGCAATGTTTTACGTCACATTTTTATAAACTGGTGAATCAGGCCAACATCAGACAGATATTTTGTTCAAGGACCAAATGCCAACACCTAGACAGTGACATCAATTGTATTGTAGGAGATAAGGTTAAACCTTATCCCTGAATTACCTTATCAGATCCCTATATGCCATAATCCAACCAAAATCATCTTGGTTGTGGGCAGCATAGGAAAAAGGTTAGAACGTGTGTAAAGTTTAAAGTCCCATGTCCCACAAGGGCAAACTTCTCCATCTTTCCTCCCAACACTAGGACAGGAAGGGGAAGAAATTTCCTCATCAGGGCACTAGCACCAATAAAAAAAAAAAAAAAACCTGGACCTAGGCTAACCACTTGCCACTAGCAGACAAATCGTGACCTTCCCACTTCCTGTCCCAACTCCTTTCAGGAAGGATACGTATTGGAAACAAGACTCAGGCAGCAAAGTGGGGACATTTCCTCACCTTGTCCCAAAAAAATAAAATGACTAAGTTGGGCTTTGGGACACCAAAAGCTTTTAAAAGTATTTCTTCAGTATCCCATATGCACTTACCTTTGGGAGGTAGGTCTATGGGCAGATTCATCTGAGTTGGGTCGGCAGGTGTCAGACTGAGGTTATCCCAGAGATCTTCCAGGCTCTGTGACTGGAGAGGAGCAGACTGGAACCTGGCCTGTTCATGCCTGCCAGTGACAGATTACAGGTTAGTCAACAAAACAGCAAGGTCACAATGCATTTACACACAGGCTGGAAGCTAGTCGCTGGAAATGAATAGTGTCTTACAGTACTTATGACAGCTGCTATATTCCAGGAACCGAGTCTGCAGGCTAGTAAAGCAAACATTACATAGGCTTTCGTGCCAGTGGACTTCTAGATCGAGGGGAGTTGAATCAGTGCAAAATCTAGTTTTAAGATAGAACACATTAAAGCTCATCTCTGGCTATGCAAGGTAAATAAAAGCAGGGGGGTCATTAATGGTGACTAAAGAGTTAAAACTGTTCAGAATGACAACCAGGAAAGGAGCATTTTCATAAGGGCAGTAATGGCAGCTTTCATAGTCTCAGTACAGGTTAACCTTTAAGACTGCTTAAAGAAAATAAAAATAAATGGGAAGAGGCTCACAGCAGTCCATTGTGAAAACACTCAAACTTACTAGGAAGACAGGTGAAATGCTGTAGGGATCACCACCATTTTTTATTTTTTTTTAAGCAGTCACACAATTTTAAGCGTTTTTGATCCCCAAACAGTCCATGTCCAGGTGCAGTCATTCCCAGGCTGTTTACTAGTCAATCGCACATGTGATTACCTGCAGATGTGAACGGGGCCTTACTTTGCAACACAAAGACAAGACTTGAGGTCTAACAGTAGTACTCCACTTCATGCAGGGGGCCTAAAATGCAGCCCCTGACATCAAAGGGCAGCATATAATGTTCAGCGGATAATGCCACAAAAGCAGCCAGAGACTCAGAACCCCAACAGGAGATGCTCAAAGAATGCAGACCCCCAACAGGTCAAAGACTAGGGGCATGCTACAGGAGATGGTCACATTGAACATTTTATAGAAACTAGAGACATTTTCCCTTTACTTGCCTGAATAAGCACACAGGTAAGAAAAATAAAAATAAAAAACCAAAGGGCCTTAAGGCCAAAAAAAAGTTAGCAAAAGGCTACATGTGACCCCAGGGCCAAATGTTGGGCAACGGGTGTGTCATAACTGTCAAGGTTTTATTGTTCCGTGTCCTTATAAGAGAGATGCACCTTCTTGGTTTTTCCCAGAAAACAGAAACTGATTTACTTACAGACCCATTTATAAAATAGCTATATTAATGTACTCCTGGAATACACACAATTTTCTTTTGAGACTATAAAATGCAAGCCTCCCACCTTGACAACGCTAGAGAATCAGCAAATGTTTGCCTACCTAAAAGGCATTTCACCCAATTTATACAGGCGACTCGCTGGAGCCAGCTTCCCAGACATCAGGGTTTTCACCAAGGTTTGACATACTGGACACCTCTACTTTGACTGCAACGACTAACGTGATGTCAAATGTTGATCACGTTAGCTTAAAAAGGGAACAAACTTTTTACACATAGAAACTAGCTGTATGCTTTGTGTAACAGTTTAAGCTACTGGCAAATTGTCTAAGCTTCGAGAGGAGCCATCATTCAACGAACCTAGAATTATCCTGTTCATACAACCTGCATACCAACAAACCTCAGGGCTACATTACTACCAGTAGAACTGCCTCAACTGGATAGATCAATACAAGATAGAACAGACTGATACGAATGCAGCTTCTGGAGTCAAGCTCAGAAAAGTAATGTTGCTTAATTTATTAAAAAAAAAGTGTAAAATGTAAAAAAAATAAAAGAGATATATA